GTTTCCTGAGATTTGAGGAATATTTTGGTAATTTCAACTCCCTTGATTCCCTTGACTGCAACAAGTTTGCAGCAGGACAGCACTCCGAGTGGTTTGTTGATGATCTGTAGAAGGAGTCTAGCTTTTCTACTGACTCCCTAGTCTTTCAGTTTCTGATCAGGCTTGGCTTGGAGGGAAGTGCTAATATGATCCAAATGAGGCACTTTAGGGCTTGCACTGAAAAATTCTCCAGGCAGCTGGAAAGCTCAGTGCAAGCTAGTGGAATAGAATGGAATCATAGAATGTCTTTGGTTGGAAGAGACATTTAAGATCATCAAGTCCAACCATTAACCTAGTGCTGCCAAGTCCACCACTAAGCTGTGTCTATCAGCACTACATCTACGTGTCTTCTAAAATCCTTGTTGTGGTTTGGGTTGGGTTAGCCAATGATGAGACAGCAGATGCTGTCTCCAACGTCTTGCTCCGAGGAGCGCTTGCGACCAAGAAACACCGTGTAATTTAGCTGGCAATAAAGAGATTGTTTTTCAATTGTGATTTTGTGTCCCCTTCATCTGACAGACCATCCCAGTATTTTTTTGGAAATAATGAGGAACCCACCTGGTTTTGGAAGTTTAGTAGGAGAGGATGTGGGGAATCTCACTGGGACGGCAGGACGAAGTGGTGCATTCTTTTTCATGCAGTGTGCCGCACCTCGGGGCTCTGTTTTCCTCCTCCTCTGGGGGATCAATCTCTACAAGAGAAACTTCTTCAAAGCAGGAGGGCTGTGAAACAATGGTCAATCACTGCTCAGCCAGCCCTTAGTCCCATGTGGGGAAACGGCAGCCAAAGGAATGGCAATTGCTGCTGGTGGGGCGGTAGAGCAGGGAGAAACAAGAAGCTGATGTCTCATGCTGTCTTATGAGCCCTCACCACATGCTCTCTTGTCCCTGAAGAAGGTAACCAATACTCCAGAAAGGAGAGGAGTGGCTGTCTTTGTCAGGGTTTATCACTGAATTCTGCTGTTGGCAATACCTAGATGCACACGGGGAGTCCAGATAAATGAATTGTTATCTTATCTTGGCTAGGAAGCTATCCGGAGTTACCAAACAGAGAAACGGGCTCCGTACAAAAAGCATTCTGTGGTAGGATATCAGCAACTTGCTGATATAGTTGCGGTTTTGTATTTTAGGAGTAAATAATAAAAATTACTGGAGTAATGCCCGACTCGCACGCTGTGAGAGGGCAGCATCGCTTTTGATGCAACGTTGGATGTTGATCATTTTGTGTGATTATAAGGAAGTTCTTACAAGTTCCGTAATATTTGATTTGAAAATTAGCCTTTTCTGCTTTAATTTTCAAATGCTCAGCTTGGCATGCTGCCACTTGTCCACGTCTCCACCCCAGGGTGCAGTAACCCATCTGTGAGAATCGGCCCCATTTTGGCAGACGTGTTCTGGTGCTGCGCGAGTGTGATTTGCAGTTTGTGTGGTTCTGCTGACTGTTACTACACCCTGCTGTACCTCTTTTACGATGGCTTAAATAGTTTTTGTTGGGTTTTTTGTTTTCTCTTGCTTCCAAGATATTAGGGAAATTGAACTTTTTGTTAAGAGGTGAAGGGGGACAGACACAACATATTGTATTTGCAGTTCTCCTTGGTAGGTGCTGTGGGCATGCTGGGCAGGGCTAATTCTGCATGGACATGAAAACCAGGACAACATCCGGCCTTTACAGTAGTGCAGCAGAAACTTCCTACCACAGAGATTAGACTGATTTCCCTTTACATACCATTTTTATTTGTAGGCAAGTTTCAAAGAGGTATTTATGTGGAGGCACATTTCTCATGCATTGTGGTTTCTGCATGCTATTGATTGATGCTATCAGTTTGCTGTTTTGCAAGGTTTATCTAAAACAAGGCCTTTATAAAAATGATTGCTTAAAATATGTTAATGACATTTCTCACTTGATAAAAACTTTAGGGCTCTTTACCTATAACCATAAAAGTATGAATCATTCCCCAAACCTTAAGTTTTTTTCACTGATCTTGCATGCAAAGCAAGAATCTTGAATTATCGCCAAATACCAGCAATAATAAAACTTCAGAAAAAATAATTGTTCTTGAACATCTTTAAGATTTCAAAACCTCATAAACATGGGATCTCACTTTTCAGAGAATTCCATGTAGATGGAGTCGGACACCCAGATGATGGCCTATCTCTACAAGTGACTGGTTTGAACTCAGATGCCCTGAAGATGTGTAGGACAGGCAGCGGCAGCGCCTCCCCACCAACCACCTTGGACTATTGCTGGTCTTTTCTAGAAAGATCAAGAGAAAGGATGGAAATAGAGGTTTCTCTTTCTTCTCTTGAGTAAGCAGTCAGGCAGGAGCTACTGTAAGGCTCTTGGGGGGTATGAAAAGAACCGGGAATATCACAGTTCAAAAAAGTTAGCACTGTGTTCAGTCACTGCTTGCATAAGCTGAGTTTAGCTGGCAGTCGATCGTCAGAGACGCCTGTATCCCACTGATGACCCTCCAAGCTATTAACTGCTGCTACCCTATTTCAAGCTCTGCGTTTTAATTCATGTGATAAAAGGAGTGCACCAAAATAACTTAGAAATAAGGCTGCTAAGTGGGCAGAGTCACTGGTGGCGATGCTGATCCCTACGTTTCCTGTGCAAAACAACCGCTGAGGAAAAGGTCCCTGGGAAGCTTTTTTTTATAGTCTTGGGTGAAGGCTGCCTGGAGGGGCTTCTGGTGGTTCATGGTCTGGACATGTGCACGTGTAGTTGCCCTCGGTAATGGATTTGGGAGGTGATCCATGAAATTAGCCAGGAAACCTTTACAGCAGGATAAATGCTAGCTTTGATTAAATGAAATTAAGAAAATGAATTTTAAACAAGGGAAGTATGGTGCTGGCCAGCTGAGTCCAAAAATTTTTCAGCACTTAATTTAATGATGCATTTGAACTTTCAGGGTGAATGCAACTGGAACTGGTTCATCTCCCTTTCTGCTTTTGTTTCATTTATTACTGTTGGATTATTGGTTCTGTCTACTCTTAACATAGTCCTTTCATTTGCTTTTTTTGGTGTAAAAACTTCCAGCTGCTGTGCTCAGCCTGAACTACAATTAGCATAGGGTAATAATGGAGCAATTAGCTACCATTAACATGGAGTAATAATGAAGCAGGAGGAACGAGTGCCCTGCCAAGGTGTTTTATAAAGAGCCCAGCACTATACTTTTCACAACAGAGTTGTTGTCCATATGCTCTACGTACCCAGCCGTATGCTGCTGTTACTGCCAGCTCTCTCCAAAATGCGACCCTCCTCCTGTGGCTTGTTGCTGTTACAGCAAATGGTGCTTCCACGTTAATATGCAGATGTAATCTGATTAAAACCTCTTTCCATCGTGTACGAACGGCTTCATCTACAGGGAAAAGGATTTCAAAACTGGAGCAGAGTTTCCTAAGCTGTGGTGTGGTCTCAAGCTGTCAAAAGTGGTGTCCCACCTCTTTTTTTCTTTCAGCTGTGGAAGAAATGTTTGTTCACTGCTGTGTGCCAAAAATGCTTTGAAATCTCCTGCTGGAACCCACTAATTTTGAATATTAAGTAGCTAGAGTTATTTCAGCTTTTCTAGTGGAAAGAAGTGAAAAGGATTGGAAAAATCTCAAAAATGGTTTTAGCAGAGAGAAGTTATTTTCAGCCGTCTCTTTCCTTCCTGGTGAATATCTCCTGCTCCAAAACTTTAAATTTAGTAAAGAAGCTGAAGAACACACACAAAAAAGTGTTTTCATTTAAGTAAGGCTGCAGGAACCCTCCCAAAGAGAAACTGCTGCTGTTTTCCTCCATCTTCTAAGCACCTCCTGCAAAGCTAAACAAAGATAACAGGAATAATAAGGAAGAGAAGTGCTTTACAGGAATCCCACCATGAGAAGTCAGTGGAAATTCCCTCTTCCTGAACAAAGCTGTTTGCTTGTTCTGTTTGCTTTAAGTTAATTGTTTAAATAGCAACATTACATCTGGGTGTGTGCTCCTTGAGATACAAGACCCAGCCTTTACATACCTATAAGAAAGTGTCTTTCCTTTTACTCCTAAAAGTCAGTTGTGTTTGATGCCATTGGAAATGAATAACCTTTCTGAGAAATTAAAAAATAAGATGAAATTAGAAACAGCATTAATGAGGAGATGCCATGGCATTTACATCATCACGTTACCTAGTTAAAAGTAGAATCTTTTGGGTATAGGATACTGGGAAGTATTTTTGATTCTAGCATCAACTTTCTAGGTAAATATTTTCATTTTTCCGCCTCCAACATTTGGGTTGTTACTTGTATTCTATTTTATAGACTGCTTTCACAGAAATTTTCACAGGTATTTGACATTTTTAATTTCCTTCAATGCTCTTTTTATTACTGTAAGCACGATTACTGCTTGGTATCTCATATTTGCAGGTTAACAACTGTGATTAAAGTGATACGACAGCTAAGCCTTTGACTCCCATTTGAGCCTAAACCACTCAACTGTTGTGCCACCAGCACAGAGATGTTTGTTGCCTTAATTTGAAGCCCATCAGTGCTCCAGAAGAAAATTCAGGCACATCCATGATCTGCTTGTATTGGCAATATGAACAAGTGGCTCCGGTGTGAGCCAGAATCTGAACACAACGAGCAACTATGGTATGAAGATCAGGGCTCCGTACAAGCAGGAGACCTGTGCATCTCCAAGACTTGCCTTTGGGACCTCATGAACAGGTCTGTGGAGCAAGATCTTCAGTGAAGTTTCTGGGTTGGGTTCTTTTTTTCCTCCCCTGCCACCAGAGAGAGAAGAGACCTTGGCCTGCAGCACTAATGATGATGAAGATGGCAGTCTGCACGTGGATCCATTTAACGGGCTCTGAAACATTGCCCCAAAACATTTGCAACAAAATAGTCTTAATCTGTCTACCGTGGTGTCAGCCTTGCCCACACACACCCACAGTATGTATGAACAAATAGAAAATACAGGAAGAGCCAATTCATGCACTGAAATGTTGTTTCTGAAGAATAAAATTTTATTTTTCTCTGAAAAAACTGCATACACATGTTCAGATCTGTTCAACCTTCAAAACATGTCTTAGTTTCCAAACAGTGTTCTTTTAAGCATGCAGGACCCCACTGCAGCTTGCTCAAGAAGTTAAGAGAGAGTTTTAATTCTGTAACTCTGCAAATATCATTTGAAAGCTATTTACATTTTGCACCTCTCTCATAACAGTAGCATCAGCTCTTAGTTACATGCACTGTATAGCTATAACTTATGATTTGGTGTTGACATTTGATTTAGGTGTGGAGTGAAAACCCAGCTAACCTTCCATTGTTCAAGAAACTCCTGACAGGCAATTAGAATAAATCTCATTTCTTCATTATAAAGGAGATCTCTTTAAGCACTCAGACTTCCCTGCAGTTATTAAAATATTACTTCCACTCTATTTTCTGGTTCATCTTCCTCTGGTGCAGACATGCATTTTGCTTGCCTTGGCGAATGGGAGCAGAAACAAAAGATGTCTTGGTTTTTATCAAGGGCGGCAGGAGTGCACTGAAACAGAGCCAGTTCTCTTTCTTTCTGTCATTTTCAGTAAACTGCAAGATTACCCATAGTATGTTTTTTTTACTATCTTAGACCATCTAAACTCAGATGCAGCAACTTAGATGCAAAAGGTTGGATTTAAGTTCATACTCCTCTTACTTTCTCTGCTACTTTACTTTCCTGACCATTAAAAAGCATAAGTCAGTAACCAGACAGACACTAGTTACTACTCAAATCATGTTGTATTATACTCATCTCCTTATATTCTCTAACCTGGGTCAAAGAAGGCATGGTATGTTTTGCCACTGCACTGTTGGCAGAACTTCTTTGTGTATAATGAGCGTAGTACCCCTCCTCACAGCCATCATAAACAGTCTTTGCTATTTCATACACGCCAGTGTGATTAAATTAGGGTGCTGCCAGTGGGAGCCGGCTGAGTATTAGGCAAACATGGCATTCCAAGTGATGTGTTTCATTATCACACAGTAAAAGCTGGCCCGTGTTTTATTTAACGGGGACTGTGCAGCCAGTAGTCAGTGCATTATTCTGTTTTTCAGCTCTGGTAACTAAGCAAGCGATGTTTTGTAAGAGAAAATGGTGTTTTCATAACCGCAAAACTGCTTCAGAATAAATACACAAAATTGCAGAAGACATTGCATGTCACGAGCTGCAAGGGCTGCTGATCACTACTCAGGCAAGTTCAGTTCACGATGGAAACTGTGCTTTCGGGCTGGCCTCCAAATATCTGGGAGAAGAACTCAAAAGCCAGGCGGACGTGGATGGGGACGAAGACGTAAGCTGTGTACACCACCATAGCAAAAACAGTCACGATGATGGTGTGGAACATGGACTGCTCCCAGGGCTCCAGCACGTAGCTGCAGGTGATCAGTAGGTACTGGTAGTACAGCCAATAGATATAGTCCTTCACGCGCTTAATATCCATCTTCAGCTTGCAGTGATTTTGAGAAGATGACCTGTAATGATAGAGAAGTCTGGATTACGGCTGCAGCAGAAAGACAGGCCTGGAACTAAAAAATGATGCGGTGACCATAATTCCAAATTTGATACCATGTATAATTGTAACATAAAATAAAGTTCAAAGAGAAATAATGGATTGGCACCATCACCGGCCTCTGCTGCCCTGGAGCAGCGGAAAACAATCTTTAGCAACTGCTGCTTGCAGTTATTGGAAGCTGTATCAGTTGGGCACTCTCAATTCCTACGTTCTGAGCCTGTTTTGCTATTCATTCTGCAGTAGGAATTAAAACGGCATTAGCTTACAAAGGCACAGGGTTCGCGTGGAAGTCAGGGAGATATGCATTTAAAAGGGAAGGCTTTGGGCCAGCTTCCATAAATGTGGATGGCAGACTTGTACGCTCTGGAATAAAGATGAGATTAAAAGAACTGCTCTGTAAAATCTCCTCTGCTTATTTCTGATAATAATTTTTATTACTTTGCAATTGTTGGGAATAAAGAAAAGACAAGGTATGAAAGGAAGGGAAAAAAAAGTAATCTCAAATAGCAGAAGTTGTTTTTTCAGCGTGTTCCAAAGAAATAAGATACACTGCAGATTAAAAGAGTATTTAATGGAAGTTACAAGTCTCGGAAAGATTTTCATTGCAAGTAATACCTTTGTGCATTCATTGTTCTTGTCTCCACACAGAAAGGAGAATGGCTGAGCAAGTATTAACTAGGAAATGAATTTTGCCTTTCAGTGTTTTTTGTTAAAATTGCTTTTCAATATTTTAAATAATCTTTAAGTTCATGCTAAAAACATCTACTTAGAGAAAATACAGAGATGGGATGATAAGCAACTGTATGAGACTTCACAGAGAGTCTTCACTCCTTTATTTTAGGGGCTGAGTTTAAGGACACACGCTGACCAGGTCAGGTCACAGTAAAAGGGAATACAGCAGATTTTAGTCCTGCTGGAAAACCTTCCAATGTATCATTTTGTTCTACACTTCTGTTGCCTAAAACGCCAGGAACAGAGATGCTTGGACATGTCACATCCCTCCAGTCTTGTGTTTATAGTGAATTTGGGGCAACAAATACTCTGTTCCTCAAGGCAACAAATACTAAGGTAGCACTGGAAAATTTGTAGCCTGTGATTAAAATAACAATGGGCCACTGGTATAGGCCAAATATATTACAATATTCAGTGGTTTACTGCCTCTGGAGGCTGTACAGTAAATTCTGGTGGTATGTGGGTATTTCCTGAAGGGAAGACAAATTACCAATAAAAGCATCCCTGGTTTGTTTTGTAACAGCTTTACTTTGGTTACTGATGTGTAACATTTTTGTCCGGCGGATGCACTGTGAAGTGCACACACCTTGACAGGTCGTATTTCTCCATCTTTCCTTTAGGTCACCGGTACCACCAGGTGTTAAGGTTCAACGTTCCCATATGAAGTTGCAAGTGGAGCATCCTGCCAGATGAGCTTACACCTTGCCATCTGGAGATACTTGTAAGGTAGATTTTCTCCCCTCCTCCTTTGGCAAGGCAACAACTGTAGGCTCACCCCAAGCGTTGACATTGGTCTGATTGAACTGGCACTCCAAATGCCTGTCCAATGCTGGTGATACAGAAGCTGTCTTTGCTCCCCCTCCTTCAACCATGTGCTGGCTCCTCTCCGGGTGTTTCTCCTTCCATCCCTCAGCTTCCTGTCCAGACCTCCTCACAGCTGTTCCCCAGTTGCTCCTCAACTCTCAGCACCCCCATGAACACCTCCTCTTTGCTGGCAACAAGCACAGTGAAGCTATAAACACTGTGTATTAAAAAAGTGAGGGAGGCTTCTTTGTGTTGACAGACTTTTATGCAAAAAAATTTCTGTACTTGCCACATCACCCACCCAGCTTTTATTTTCCACCAGCCCCTCTTCTTCTGTGTCCTTCAATCATCAGTACCTTCCCCAATATATCTTTTTTTCACCTTCTCCCAAAGCAGTCTGTTTCCTTCTGTTCCATTTTCCCCATATCTCCTAGACAGAGGCTGCCTACAATGCTTTTGGGGGGCAGATCACTTCCATTTTAAGTTCAGCAGTGATTGTCTTTGCTGTTAACAGCTTTGCTTGCAAGGGTACAGGCTGGAGAGAAAGGCCACCACTGGTTTCTGTCCTGGTATGAATGGAAGATGATTCCTTTCAGACAAATTATTTTAAGGCAGAACTCAAGAGAGGCCTTAAAGCCTTGTAAATATTGCAAAGCCTGTAATAAAAATGGCACAGCTGGCAAACTGTGACTCACTGGGAGCCAAAAGTCTCTATTTATACCTTCTGCAAGAAGAGCAGCATTTTTCAATGAAAAATACAATTGAAAGGAAAATTTCTGCAAGAAGAGCAGCATTTTTCAATGAAGAGGTTAAGCCCTTTCCTATACAATTGAAAGGAAAACGATAAGGGCCCTCTCATAGTATCTAGGATTATGGTATTTACACTGGGGTTATACCTGGGCTAGTTAAACTCATACCTTTCTTGGGTAAATATCTGTTAAGCCTGACTGAGAAATAGAGAAACTGCAAGTCTGGAGTGCTTGCTGTGGGTGTTCACGAGGTTATCAGAGGGGTGCTGCAATGGTTTGTGAGAGGAGAGATCCCTGGCTAATGGAGCTTTCTGCCCACAGCAGCACATGCACTTGTATATCTCAATAGAGAGCTGGTACAAGGAAAAGGCAGAGACAGGAAAAAAAAAAAATCCCCAGGCTGATTTTACTGATATTAGACCAGTCTACCAGGCTGCAGGCTCAGCACCATCGCTTAATACACGTCGCTGTTTTGAGGGGATACATAAATAAACTACGAACAGATTAAAATAAGGAAGAGATCTTTTGATTTATACCAAAGACCCCGTTGCACTTTTTCCAGCCTGGGGACTGTGTTTCCATTGGGCTCAGTCACCAAGTCCTAGCAGCCAGCCTGTGCTTCTTGGGTTCTTCCAGTTCACAGCCGAGGGGAATAACCCCATCCCCAGGCTCTCAGACTCCCTGAGCTACCAGCAAGAACACGAGCTGTCTGAAGGCAGAGGCTGCGCGGTCTCCAAATGAATGATAGAGATTGAGATAAGTAAAAGAAAAACAGTCAAATTACAGTCTCCGTCCTCACCGCTAACACACTTCCCCTGCATTTAATCTACCCAGAGACTTTCTCTGTTAGCAGGACTGTCTTGGAAATGCAGCAAACATGAAGGGCGTCTTGGGATAATGCAATTCTAGATGCATAATTTATTAAAGGAAAACATAGGAGGGAAAGGAAAAAAAAAAGCCATCTTAAACCAGCTGCTCAGTCAATGAGATACAAGAATCCACTGTGTTACTGTGACATAGATACCTTTTCTGAATGTACCTCATTTACATTAATTCTGGGGTAGTTCTAAGCATAAGCTTGAGCCCAAAGCTCCACACCTCCAGGGGTCTCCGGCAGCCTGCTTACCACCACGCCAGTTATCTTGTAGCAATAATCAAAGGGAATGGCAGATCACTAAACAAATAGAAATGCTTCAGGCTAAAAATTCTGTATTTTAGACAGGTCTTGTCTTAGAGAGGCTTCCACTTGTATTTGTAAGCATTACTGGGTTTTATTACATTAATGCCACAATCAGCTGGCACTCTGAATTGACAGGGCCTCGCGTAATTAGCTCATCAGTTCCCAATATTACAGAATAGGAGATAATTTGCTATTGCGCAATTTTAACTTGGAGCTCATTTGTCTACAAATTTGAACTTAAGTATTCAATTGTGTTGTGGAAATGCCTTCCTGTTTAGAGGCCACGAGACTGTTACAACCAGCTATGAATAAAATGAATAGAATTCAGCTTCTAAAGCCATTAAGCAATATTCAAATTATTTTCAGCAATTTCACCTCCAAGCAAAAATAGCAAGAGAAACCTGTAAAGCAGCTTTTATTGTTTTAAGTGGCAACCTGATTTTCTCGCCTGTTAACACATATCTCTGATTAGGGCAGCTGAAAAGATAAATCATCATTAAAAAAAAATAATCCCAGGTTTCAGTTAAGAGTATGCCTCATCTCAAAATAAACCCACCAAAACAGCCCCAAAAACTTAGTTCCCAGTGCCAGAGCTAGTGTTTGGAGCTGTAATCTAAAGATGTGAGATGTAGGTACTTTACTATATAATTTCTGCTTTGAGCAACAGGGTGACTGGACAGAACCTGGCAAAATGCACCTGCTGGGAAATTCCTCTGGAAGGAAACAAACATTCTTATAGGGGAACTGGGATAGACTGGTTTCCAAAGAATGCTTGAAAAATATGTTACACATGCAGCAGGACAGTTCAGTTGACGTACATATACAGAGAAAGAGGGTTTCCAACATAGTTCGGGTCTAGCCGAATTTATCTGGAGTGGGGAAAACCAAACCCTGGCTGCAGATCCCCTCATAATCGTTTCACAGGTGGTATCTCAGGCTTTGAATGTAAAGTAGGGCCAAGTGTTATAAACAAGGTAGGAAAAACAAACAATCAATCAAACCATCCCCAAAATGCAAATATTTAATTGGCCGTTTGCTGAATAATTGCTGTGATAGCACAGAAGCAAGAGTTGGTTGGTTTTGCAGAATCCTAAGGGATTGCAGTCATGCTGAAGCTTAAGTAAAATCCTGCCATGGGCCCCTGATCTGTACTTGGTCTCATATGCAAGACACTTACATAGGCTCCAAATGGCAGGTGTGGCAAGGTAAAGTGCAATAATTATTTTAAAGTTGCCTGATACGTAAATAATTTCAGTTATTAGAAGGATGGGTAGTCATCCTGCTGGGTATTGCGATATATGTCCTTTCTGCAAGCTACTTATCTGTAATTGTTCTTACTTATTTGTCGTTTTCTTGTGTTAGATGGGTTTGTTCCGCTGTTACTCAGAATATCCTTACTTATCCAAGGCACCAATCTTGTCCCTGTTAATGTAACATAACTCTGGGATGAACCCATTGATTTTATGTAGACTGATGTTTCTGCAAATGCGAATTAGAAGACCAAAGGGAGTCACATTCCCAGCCCATCATGCATGTGCTTTAGCATGTTTTATTCAATGAGCACCAAGCGTAGTGCATAAGGAATGAAACACAGGATCTGTGCACCAGCAGCTGGGGAGAAAGCAGGAAGAAATTTAGATGAGGCAGCAGTTAAAATTGTGCAGAGAATCTGAACACCAGCATTTCCCAGGGACACCATCTCAGTCTGTTCCTCTATTGCATTTGTGCTGCTCAGACTCCCCATATGCAGCCCAGCCCATGGCCATACAGCATCAGCTCAGCCTCCAAAGCTGCCCATTACCTACTGACAAGCAGAACCCTCAGGTGACTGTGGTACTTACACATGGATGTTTAAGTGCACCCTAAAGCTTGTTCTCACAAGCAGGTAATGCCAAATTAAGAATGCGAATGAAAACAGCAGCAGTAATCCCAGCATAGCTTCCACTGGGGACAATTATGCACCATTAGAAATGTCTTCACATATAGATTTTAATAAAGAACCCTCTTCCTCTAATTCTGGAGTGAAAATGCACAGCAGCAGCGAGGCCATCTCTAGTTTCTCTTCCTCAGCATTCATCTCCCTGAATCAGCATCTCGTTGCATGCTCGGCCATACATTACTGCCAGCTACTGCACTACAGGAACTGTAAACTCCTCTTACACACATGTTCCTGCCAACATCCATGCAACACCAGAATGAAGTTCAGAGCTGGTAAAGTCTTATTGCTGTACATGACTCAGACATTTTGTATATGGGTGAAAATGCTTCAACTGCGCCTATGGGATTTTTTTTGGAAAAAAAAGAAAAATCTTCTAGGAGTGGAAAAATACAAGGCAGAAAAGGCAATGGCATTTTCAGCCACATCTCTTCTGAGCAAGGTAGAGCAGAAACAACTCCAGCATCTTCTGAATCTGTCCACACTAACCCCTCCTTCCTGCTGACCTTCGTGATAGCACGTAGGTAGTATTTTCTTTCTTTGAAATGGAAAAGTTACATAATCCATACAAGACCTAGGAATCTAACAAACACCTTTCACTGTTGACAAAAAGACTTACTTCTGCCTTCGGTAGCTTCAAACAAGGCAGCAAAATGCTCATCGAGCAGCACTACAGGAGTGGCAATGCCCCACCTACACAAAATCTGACCCAGACTTCCTCATCTCCAGCTCTGAACACAAACCTAATCCTCACGATAGGACAAGGGGTAATGGTTTTAAACTGAAAGAGGGTAGCTTGAGATCTTTCTTCTTAGGAAGAAGTTCTTGACTGTGAGGGTGGTGAGACACTGGCCCAGGTTGCCCAGAGAAGCTGTGGCTGCCCCATCCCTGGAGGGGTTCAAGGCCAGGCTGGATGGGGCTTTGAGCAACCTGGTCTGGTGGGAGGTGTCCCTGCCCATGGCAGCGGGGTAGGAACTCATTCTTTAAGGTCCCTTCCAACCCAAACCATTCTATGATATTATGTGCACATCCCTTCACCAGCTCTTCAGTAATACCATAGTCCCCAGCACCAGTTTGGTGCTAGAGTTTAGCTGCATGGACACATCTGTAATGTCAGCAAATGGATTCTCATCAGACTGTCTCTCCACCTGGATTGCAGTATACCCAGATGATTTCTGAAATACTATTTGCTTCGTCAGTCAAGTTCAGTACACAGATGGAGTGTATTGTAGACTACAACAATGCAGGAAGGAATTTTAAATGTGATATATAAACTGTTGACCCTCAAAAAAAGAGGATGATCTGCAGCACCCACAGGGATCTCATTTGGGGAGAGGGTCCCAACCATTCAAGTAACAGCACAGCAGTTAATGTTTACACTGATTTCATGCCTTAACTACTCCTAGCAAAAACTATTTTTAAAAAATTGAAGAAAATCAGCTTCTCCTAGCTTTGGAGCCTGGCTGCTTTATTGATGCACTCTTTCTCTGCACTCAGATGCAGAGGAAGGAAAAGATGCAGCTTCTCTGTAACAAAAACATTCTTGGAGCAGCTCTGTCCCATTTTCTTCCAAGGCCAAATTAATTTTTCAAAGAATTTTCTTCCCTCCTCTGAAGCTCTCAGTCAGTTTCTTATATAACTAGATTCTTCTTACAATTAAGGTACGAACCCCTTCCTTGCCAGCCTTCTCTGGGCTGACCATGTTCTGGGCTCTAAGTCCTGCCCCTGTGTCGGGACTTGCACATTGGAGCAGAACTGGCCTTTGGTGATAAGCTCTGCCAGAGAAGACCAGTAAATTGGCAAGTTGGTACCTCAGGGCAAGCTTTCCCTCTGTTTTCAGTGTAAACATGGTTTATTAACTGTTGTTTTGAACTGAGGTGATTCCCAAGCAAGAACTCAAATTTGCGAGTAGGGACCAGAACCGGGTTTAAATTGCAAATACTTAAAAATTGAGAATTCTTGAAGAACTGTTCCAGGAGATATCTTAGAGGCTTTGCTCTTGGTGACAAGTTTTAGTTCCTGCAAGACTTTTCAGATTTGGGACATCAGCTAGATCCTTCAAGGAGACTTCAAAGTTCAGAAGGTTGTGTAAACACAGCACTCAAAATATCTAAGATGTTTGGGCTCTACAAAAAAATTTACTCTCAAATGTGGTTCTTATTTTATTCAGACTTCTTTTTTTCCTCTGAGTCATTTCAGAAGCAGCTGAAAATAATAGCTGGTCGTGGGTTATATGTAATATGAGAAGGTGAATACTGTCATAATCATGACAGGTATTAGTGGAAAACAGGTACCAAACTCTTGTGCAAGTGCATCTCCTTTGAGATCTAATGAAAGGAAGCAGTGTTGCACCATGCCAGTTGCCAGTCTAAATGGGGAAAAGAAAAATGAAGGAGATATTTGCAACAGATAAGTAGTAAAAATGGAGGTTCACATTTTTCACAGAAATGGATTTAACCCCGTGTATACAGTAAGGAACAACTTCCCCTGCAGACCACTTCATCCCTATGAGCAAACAGTTTTGAACACAGAAACTATAGCAGAATACCCCTCAAATGTGGGGAGGGGGGAAGAACACAAGGAATACTTCTGTTCAGCTTGGTAGTGGGGCAAGACAAGGCTCTTCAAAGTTGCAACAAGCCCCTGTCCCAATTTCCCCTGAACAACAGTAGGACCTGGGTCATGTTGTATTTGGTTTTTCCTGTGAGCCAGCTGGAGCACCTGAGTCTTGGTGCCATTCCCTACATCACTTGCTCCTGGAGTGATGGAGCAAGTATTCCCATGGCCCTGAGCTGCTCTCCAGGCATCCTTTCACCACAGCTTCCACTGCTGCTAGATGAAAGACATACACACTTTGTGCAGAGCTTCCCTGCATTTCTCTGTCAGAACTTGCACCATCGAGAAATCACCCCAAGAACTTGCAGAATTGCTCTCAGGACATAGTTATTTCTGCCATACTTACGCTGTTCATGAAGCAAAAGATAAACAAGCATCCCAATTCCTAAAGCATTTTAAAATACACAGTCCAAAAAGTACCATGTGTGCCAATTAAGTGGAGTAGTAGCAGTACAGAGGAGAATCCCTATGATAAATATCTCAACTCCGCTTATACAGCAGGGAGGTTCTCTTGTACCTACTTCATGGAAGCGACCAGCAACTGTTAGAAAGCCAAAGAGGAGAAATCTGCAAACGATGAGCATTGCCACCACAATGGCATGAGTAGCACCTTCACCTTTCCCACCTTCCCCACTACCCACCTATTTCAACTTTTTTACTTATAGAATGGGTTGGAAGGGACCTTAAATATCATCCTGTTCTCACCCCCCTGCCCTGGGCAGGGACACCTCCCACCAGACCAGGTTGCTCAAAGCCCCATCCAGCCTGGCCTTGAACACCTCCAGGGATGGGGCAGCCACAGCTTCTCTGGGCAACCTGGGCCAGGCTCTCACCACCCTCATAGTTAAGAATTTCTTCCCCATATCTGAATCCACCCTTTTCCAGTTTGAGGCCATCAGGCAGACCATCTTCCCAACAGCTGCACCAGCAACACCACCTGGGAAGCCCTGACTGCAGCTGTACAGCAACAAGTCCAGGGAGACCTTGCTGAAGGCTGTAGATCCTTCTGCAATGCCACCAGCCACCTTGAGGAACACCACGCAGCACAAACCCCGGAGCCTTTACCGCTGCCACCCCCGCTCCAAGGCCTCCCCTCCAGCGCTCCTTCCCCACCTGCGGATGGCAGCGCAGAGTACGCGGCTCCTCCCGGCCAAGGTCACCGCTCCCCCGGGTCGGGGAGCCCCGGGACGGCACCTCCTCCGCGATGCCCTTGGCCAAGGGGAGCAAGGACTGACCCCCCCGGTACCGGGCTATGCGGGGATGGGGGGGATGGTCCCACCCCAGCGTGCCGCGGCGGGCGGCTGCGGGGTTTAAGCGGGGGCGGAAGAAAGAGGAGAGCGGGGCCAGGTTGGGGGAAAGCCGTGGGATTTAGCGGGCTGTCGCCGGCCGGGACGGTGACATCCCGCTAGACATGTCCCACCCCAGCCCCGCGCCGCCTCCCCCTCACCTCCTCTCCGCGGGATGCCGCGCCCCGCTCCGCGCCCCGCCGCCTCTTCCTAACCCGCCGCCGCCGCGCTTAAATACCTACCCGGCCCTGCTCCGCGCC